GAAGTTCCACAAAATAAGTTCTCAGCTAGTATATGATTGCCTCAATGTCCTAAATGCTCTTGGTGCCAAGAATACAGTTTTATTAGGATGGGTACCAGGGCATGAAGGACATGATGGCAATGAGAAGGCTGACTGCCTAGCGAAACAGGGAGCTGCCGCAGTATTTTATGGTCCGTTATGAGGGCTCACCAAAGCACCAAAGGACATGGAATGTCCAGGGCAGAGACAAGCCAAAGGATTTATCTGTCCTTCAAACGAAGTTTCAAAGAAACTAATCAATTTAGGCAGAGGGGACCTCAAAACACTCACTGGGTACTACACGGGACACTGTTTTCTTCGTTACCACTTCAGTAAAATCAATCAGAAACAACCGTCTGTCGCTTCTGTGAGCTGGACGAAGAAACGCCAGAACACATTCTCGCTAGGCGCAGACTAGCCCACTTTGGTGGCGCTACCCTTTATCCATTTGAAATTTGGAACAAAACGCCCTTGGAGGTGCTAGGCTACATTAAAAGCCTTCCCATATAGGGCGGGGGCGCACGCACAATAGACCACTTTAGAGGTCGCGGTGCATATGGCCGATAATAATAATAATAAACTGGATAGGTGGCGCTCCCTTGGTCGGTGCCAATTAGGGTGTTCGATTATGCATCTATTTCCAAAACCGGTTTTCGATTTATTCGAAAAATAGCACTTTGAAAAAAAAAACCCGATTTTGAAATTAAGAAAAAACCGGATAAACCGGTTTTATTTTACATAGTTTTTATGCAGTGAAAATACTTATAACGGTATGGAGTCTTGACCAAAAATTATAATACTAATAAAACTATTAACAGTAAAGATTGCTTTTATTCAGAAAACAACAAAGCAAAATAAGTTGAAAGTTTTTTAGATCAAAAGTAAAACAAATGTGAAATCAGTGAAAAATTCGGTTTTGAGTAGTGTTCTTGCCGCTGTAGCCGAGTGCTTAGATGTGCCTCTGCCAATCAGGCGGTCCATAGTTAAATTTGTGGTCCCAGTAACATTGAAACAATGACAAACGTCCGAGCGTATTCTGCCATAAAAAAAAAACCTTCTTTAGAGGTAGTAAAAATTTAAGTCTTTCCTTTTATGTCACAACAACAAGTAGCAGAACATAAATTGGAGGAGACGCTCGGTCAAACACGTAGAAAACGTTTAAGCGCCAAACATTTATTCATTGGAATCACATACGATATACCGTTCATCCCCAAATAACCTACGATTTTTCCTTAAACTGGAAAGAGCCTTGAAAACTTCCAAATAAAATGCCCGGTTTGTTCGCTAAAAAAAAATCCGGTTTACTCGATATTCGAAAATAGTTCGAGCCAATCACCCCTGTTCCAAGATGTTTATGCTCCAAACCATTCCGGACCCATTGCGTTGCTTCTCTAACTAATTCCGAGAAGGCAGAACAGACGTATCCCTTGCTTTTACTGTCCAAAGCGGTTTTGAAATCGACAAATAGATGGTGCGTTTCGATCCTATTCTCGCGAGTATATTCCAATATTTAGCGTATTGTAAATAGATACCTAATCTTTGCCACGTCTAAAGCCACACAGATAAGGCTCAAACAGTTCGTTGACGGTGGGCTTCAGGATTTCACACAATACGCTCGATAAGACCTAACCTAAGATAATCCTATTAACTCTCAGCTCTGCTCACCTGGCAGGCCGTCAGCTCCCGCAGCTTTGTTGTTTTTCAGACGGTGAGACATCGACTCCATCGTCATCGACTGGAAAAGAGGAAAAGCGTATCCTCCATAATTTAAGTATGTTCCAAACATCCTTTCGTAAACCGCCTAACTCACTAATAAAATTTTCGGTCGTTTTTCCTGCATTTCTAGGTCTTCGCCCTTAAGAATTTCGGCCTCTCTCTTCTTATTGCGGCAAATGCGTCTAGGTTCCCTCTTCAGTTCCATAGAGTTTTTTATAGCGGTCCCACCCACATAGCTCCTCATAGTACCAGTTGTTCTTTCGGGCCTGCTGAAATCCGACTACTTCTTCGGCGGCGGTAAACGACAGTACTCGGCGACGAAGTCCCTCTCCCGCAACAAATCCAACACCGAATTTGCGCTCCTTTACGTGGCAACTGTAGTAAAGATCGCAAGGCCCCACGTATACCTTGCCTTGCCCGTGCAACGCATTTCTTGGATGGGTGATTTCAGCCTTTGTATTCCCGAGGACACAAACTAGCGGGGCGGAGGCCCTTCCCCATCAAGGCTCCAGATAATCAAGGTATATATCCTCAAATCATAGTCCCTTATACGTCTTCCGTGCACGTCACCTAAAAAGGGGGTCTCATCCGCGGCATGTTTTTCTTTTTCATTGGGCGGGGTTTTAACGTGGCAGGACCCAAATCCAGTGGTTGTTGATTTTGGAATTAAGAAAAACCGAACAAACCGGTTTAATTGTAAATACTTTTCATTCAGTGACAATGCTTGTGGTGGTATGAAATCATGTCCAAAAATTAAAATAAAACTATTAACCGTAAAAATTGCTTTTATTTAGAAAAGAGCAAATCAAAATACAATTAAAGTTGTAACATTAAATTATTGCATTTTTCTGACTTTTTTCTGAGTTTCTGTTCAAGTGCTCTTGCCGCCTATAGTTCAATTTTTGGTCCCAGCAACAACAAAATAATGTGTACTTCCGCCATAAAAAAGCTTCTTCGGTGGAGTAAAAGAACACGAATTGGTGGAGAATCTCGGATAAATACGTACAGAATGTTTAAGCGCCACACATTCATTTACTAGAATCTAAAATGATATAGGCAGTCTCTCTTTTTTCCAAATCATGACTTATATCAATATCCATTCCATGCGTAACCATGAATACCAATTTTTAGTAAAGTGGCGCAAATTGGATGCTTTTATCTCCTACAGTTCAGAAATAGTAGAGACTGCCACTTTGCATTAACGCGTTTAAGAAGATAGCCATTCTGTTTTCCTTCGAACTGGAAAAAGCCTTGAAAGTTTCGAAAAACTCAAAACTTTTATTGAGGCGTCAAGATTTGTATGAAATGAAAAAAATGGGTTTTTCGATAAAAAAAAAATCCGGTTTATTCGATATTCGAAAAATTAAGGTTTCAAAACAACCGCCTTTAGATATCCAAAAATTAAAAAAAAAATAGCTAATTATAAACGTTTCAAACATCGATAAAAAGTCAAGCACAAGCATAAAGTTTGCAAAGTGTTTTCTTGTTTTCGTAGACATTTGAAGAGTAGGGGGTGCCGCGAAATTTTTTTAGCACAGCAAGGGTGCCGCGGTGAAATAAGTTTGGGAACCCCTGCTATAGAGCGTCGTACGAATGGACTCGAACGCTCCAGCTATGAAAATCTTTAACGCCTATCCAGCTGGTGGTGGCATATAAAGAGGAAGGCCTTCGCTGTGATGAAATCAGGTGGAAAAGTACCGAAGAGAAACTACTGGCATGCTTTATTGCACTTGGCCAAAACCGACTAGGCGATTACACCGGCAATCAAGAAGAAGTGGCCGACTTTTCGGAATCTAAGGCAAAGGTCTGTAACAAGCCCATTGTACATTTGCATTTACAAGCACAATAAATATAAATAAAACACATTTTCTATTATTTGTTGTAATTTAGATAATTCACTGTTTGCATAAATTAGCAATTCTTTATTTATGCTAGTATCTTTTTAATAAATTTTCAATTAGATATGATATTAACATTTATTATGGCATAATTTAGCTATACGCTGTCTGGGGTTGTTTTAATTGTAATTGGTAATTATAGTAAGGTAATTATGTACTTGTATTAATTAGTGATATATTTACGCTTACGTTTACATACATACATATATAAGTATAAGTCTATATCTACATATTTCTTTTTGGCTTTATACACGTAAATATTTAGATATGTGTACGCACAAACGCGTTGTCTATATTTATGAACATTAACTCCTTCTTCGAATAACTTAGTACTAAATATATACCATTTTGCAAAGTTCTATTCTTAATAAAAACACACACGCACACATAATTTACAAACACGAATTTGAGTATGGGCTTACAATTGGACTTACATATCAGGCCATTGGGGTCAGAGTAGCCTAACTGATATTTTAAAAAAAAAAGTTGAGGTGCACCTTAAAATACATTACTAGAATCGAAACGGTAATAGCCCGAGGCACGTCCTTTTAGTATTCCTTTACTATAATATGTAGCTTCATGTACATAGGTACAAAGAACTTTTTGGTAAAAGACCGCGTTTATTTTTTATATAAATTTTGTAGATAGGCGCCCTTTGGCCCTCATGGCCTCATACATACATATGAACTTTATGGTAAACAGGACTTTTTTACAATTTTACATTTTCGGAAATTTTTCAACTTTTTATACAAATATTGAGCAAAGAGACTTATTTAGAATACCAACGTATATGTACATATATATCTATGTATGTGCATTAGGGTGGTCCAAAAATGTATTTAAAAAAAAAAGTATAGTCCGAATTTTATTGCTCTTGCCGCCTAGGGCTGCTCTATATAGAAAAAATATACCCCTGTTTTTTATTTCCAAATCAAAAATTATTTAGAGGTCAATCAAAGCGGTCAATGGGAAAAAATTTGTCGAGAAAATGGTATAGAATTCTTGGAAATCATCAGTTTTCGAACGGAAAACTCTGTTTCTCTTCAGAAGACTTCCAATAATACCCAATCGAAAAATATAGATTTTCAAAAGTTCTGTACCATTTCTATGAAACATAGTTTCTTTCCATATAAAATACAGTGGGCCGTATGAATAAAAATAAGCAATTGCTTTTTCTTAATATTTCAGACCTTTTACTCGATTTATTCAAACAAAAGTGAAGTAACAGGTATGAAATTTTAAGAAAAAACAATTGCTCAGTCTTTATTCATACGGCCCATTAATTACTTTGAACGCTTTAAGCGACTTCTAAATATTTTTTTATTTAAAAAAAAAGGGTAAATTATTTGCGGTGTGGAACAATCCTACGGGGTTAGATCATTAAAATTCCGACTTTACTTTTGTTTTTTACCACCCTAACGTGCATGCAGTAAGTAGAGAAATTGAGAGCAAAAATTTTTGTTTCTATCATATTTTACAGAATTTATAATGTTTATTATTTTTTGATTTTCATAAAATTTTTTGCAAATCGGAAACCTACACTTTTGAACATTGATTGCTAAGTATGTATGTATAGCACGCAGAAATATTTTACACAGAACGCCGGGAGTTATATATATATGTATATACAAATTTGGTCACACTTTTCCTTTCCACGCTATTTACATTTCTTAAATACTTATACCCTATTTTAATTCTGAAACAAGCGGAATTCTTTGTCTGTGAAACCAGTTTTCAATTTCTTTTCTACACTTCCGTTACAATTTTTCACTTTGTGGCACTATGAAGTCGATAAAAATTTACAACACATTTGATGGTAGAGCCTCGCTGCCGCTTGGCTGGCACACTGCTCCGAATCCATTTTCCATTTAGTATGCCTTGTGCGCTGTTGCGAGCTTTTCCGCACCCTCCGCGCTACCACCACCACCACCAACTTTGTGGTGTGCACTCAGCTTTTTGCCATTGGCGCTACTGTGCATCTCCAGGCAATTAACACTTTTCGCCAACAGCTCGAACGGTGTTGGTTTTCGTAGGCCATCACCATCGCCAGCTCCAGCAGTCGCCACCACCACCCCATTACCATTTGCTAGCGTCGCTTTCATTTCAGGCAATTCTTCTTCATCCTCATCTGCCTCCACATCGATAGCGGCTTCCTCTTCCCCTTCCGAATCGTCCATATCGTGCGTTGATGGCGACGTTGGCGTTGGCGTTGTTGGCGCATGGTTGATATATGGCGGCTTCAGCAGCGAAATGGGAGCACCGCAGTTGGATCCCACCGCAGCCGCCAGGCACCCCACGCCCTATACCAGCGACGAGAGTGGCGGTCGTGGTGGGCTGGTGTTGCGTGCTGCTGCTGCCGCATAGTACTGCATTGCGTGATGATGTGGTGGTGGTGGCGGCACAAATCCCGTTCCCGAACCATCGTGATAGAGCACTGGTACGCGCACTAAGCGTTGGGCAGCATGCGCCATATTCGCCATATTGGCTGCTTCCAGTTCAGCCGCCAATTGGCGTTTCCATTTATTGCGGCGATTTTGAAACCAAATTTTCACTTGAGTTTCGGTTAGACGCAGCGAGGCGGCCAAGCCAGCGCGCTCCGACGAGCTGAGGTAGCGTTTCATATCGAATGTGGACTCCAACTGAAAGACTTGTGCGCGCGAGAAGACTGTGCGTGTCTTTTTCTTGCGTTTCGTTTGATTCGAATCGCCACCCTGCGGCGAGGAGCCATCCGAAGGACCATCGTTGCCATCATCCTCTTCGATGATCTCCTCGCCATCGTCGTCCGACTCGTTGGAACTGGTGGGCAGCAAGTAACTCGAATTCGAATGCGAACTGTGATGGCTGAGATGCGGATGTCCGGCACTGCCGCCGCTACTGCTGGTGGGCGTTGTAGGCTGATGCGGATGATTCAGATGTGGATGCTGTTGTTGACTGTGGCTGTAGCCATGCGGCGAAGGCGATTTGGTGCCATTGTTATTGCCATTGTTGGCGCCGCTACCGTGATTGTGGCTGCCATTGTTGTTCCCGATATGATTAGGGCTGAGCGATGTGGGCGAGGAGGGATTCTCCGTTGTATTGGTGGAGGAACTGTCTGCAAAGACAAAGAAAATACGAATTTACATATGTATATACATATTTGTAATTAGTTCGAGAGTCTGCAAATTGTTGTAAGAAAATGGTGTTAAATTGAGATAGCTACTGCAAAATGAGAGTGGTTTGTATTGGCTATTAAGCGTATTGGCTTGGTTGGCAAGCAGCTTTAGCTTCCGGGGTTGTTGCTAAAACGTGGCATATGACTAATGGTGTTTCAGTGTATCTTTTGGTGGAAAATTGAATTTCCAGCGCTTAACCTTACTCGCTTAACTTTTCTCACTGAACTCAGCACGCTACCAAGGCGCAAACGCAAAGAGTAAGCGCGCTCGCTCGTACAGACATCGTGTATTTAGCCAAGAGTGGGGTTTGTCTACGTAGAGGCGCTGCAAACCATATTCGGTATACTAAGTACGTGTAAAAAAATATGTGTGTATATGTGTGCTTATTTATTATTTTGTTTTCTGTCTGTCAGCATTTCTTAGTGGTGGAAAATGCAATTAAGTGGCAGCCAGTGGGCGTTTGTTTCCAACTTCTGCTTATTTGTGCCGCCACCAAACTCACGCCTATGCCAAGCAAGTGTGAGTGTTGTGTTACTATTTAAAATGGCTGTCAGTCGGTCGATTTTTTGGACTTTCAACTTTCAAACTTAAAAAGAGCAGAAGTTCGTTTTGTGGATACTTTAAAAATATGTATATTTATGGCATTGGCTAAAAACGAGTGCAGGAATTTCGCATTACGTTCTTAGGCAAATTGATGTTAGGCATTTTCTTCGCCGCCATCTCCAATTTACGGAAATAGAAAATCACAACTAACTTAAAGCCTACACCTTAGTGCACTCAAATTTAGTGGATTCTGATTTGTCTGCATTAAAAAAAAATAAGTTTTTTTTTAAGTTTTGCGTAAAGTTTGAACATCGGCAGATGGCATCTGAATACTTTAATATTTAATTTTCAGCTCTCATTGCTGCCAAAGCGTTAATTCCGATCCCAGTCAAAATTTTTGTTGTGTGGTTCATTCCCTACCAGAACCTTACCAAAGCGTTCGATGTATAATGCACTTGAAAAGTTTAAGGGTATCGTTTGCTTCTCAGTAGGTATTGAGCTAAGGTAACAGCAGACAGATATGGAAGCTATTCAGTACGCCTTTGGAACATCGTGTCTTTAAATCTTTTTCCTTTTTCGCTATTCTAATTGTTTTTCGAAAATTTTTTTCCGACTTTCTAGGGAGGTTTTTGGTATCGTTTATCTTTTTTTTTATTCTTCAATAGTCGGTAACTTTTCTGGATTTACCCGCGTTCGCCGCGTTTGATTTTTCGGAAACTCTAGGAACTTTTTCGTGACTTTTTTTGAAATCTTCGGAATTTTTAACAAGCTTGTTTTCGAGACATTTCAGAACTGCTTCCGGTCTTTTTTAATTTTTTGAATATTTTGGTTCGTTTTAGAGCCTTCAGGCCCCAAAGAACTATCTTCCAATCTTAACTTCGCCTTTTAAGGATATGCCGAAATGTTCAAAAGAAAAAAATTATTGATTAATATTCGACTTGTATTTTAACTTTTAATAATTTTTTACGTTTTTTTTCGCTTTTTCCGAAATTTTCTCGGAGTTTTTCTTATTCCCCATGTTTTATCATTCGAGATTTTCCCAAATATTTTGGGTGTTTAACGGATATTTTTGTCATTTTTGCGAGGCCTTTCTGAAGTCGTCACGCTTTATTTTTTGGATAAATAAATGCAAAAAAAAAAAAAAAACAAAAAACAAAGTAAAAGTTAGCGAATATTATTGGGTTTATCGGCATAGATTCGATTTTTTTTCCGACTTTCGAAGGTTTTCTCGCGATTTTTTCTGCACCGTTATAAATCGTCATGAGCACAGTCACTAACTAGAGATGGTATTTTTGGCATGAAATATTTTCATTTTTTACCATGCGTGGCATGTTTAATATCAAATTACTTTGCAGTAAATTGCATAGTTTTGAATGCCAATTAACAATTAGTATAAACATATGTAGTCTAATCTAATATGAGTATTGCAGATATCTGTGCGAAGACATATTTACACTCGCACTATGTTGGAAAGCGAAACTGTCACTAAATACGTTTGTATGTATATAAATATGTACTCGTATATACCTACATATGTATGTATCTTGGTTGTGGCAAAACCTCTACAAGTGCCCCTCCAAGAAATTTTACCTACTATTTAGAAATATTCATACATATCAATCTACATACATGCAGTTGTGCGATGAATATAATAAAAGCGCAGTCAGGTTTAGATAGAGGGCTATTTTATGTTCGGTATCCGCTATTAAAATTTTCTACTTAATATTTTTGGTTAACTTCTACCGAAAAGGGCCAGAGTGGCCTATGATGCGTGGAATATAAAGATAAATTTTGTTTAAAAAAGTTACTCACTAAATTTTTCTTTTTTTCTGGAGAGAAGAATTCGATGTATATATTGATTTGGGGGTTTCTTCATCTTTATGCCCTGCTTAAATTTTTCGTAGAACATTTTAACTCTTCATCTGCCATTTTTAGTGAGCTCACATAGAGTTTCTTCAAAATAAGGGTCATAATTATTAAGGATTTAAAATGTTCTGCGAAAATACTGCTTCTTGAATTTTACTAATGGTCTCTATACACTAAAATTATATTTGAAGTCAATATTCATATAAATTTATGCGTATAACCCACTATAAAAGAAAATTGTGGACGAGATAAAGCAAAATTTTGACCCGATACTAAAGCATAAAATTTAAATGGTTTCACAGAGTTCTTAAGAATACTTTTTTCAAAAACCCCTGACTTATCGAAATTTTCGAAGATCATTCGACATGGCCTTACCCTACAATATTAATTTTTTGAAACTTTAAAATTCAACCCCGTTCAGGGAGCATAAGGTAGGTAATAGGGAGTGAGAATGGGATCTAATTCATTTTGTTTTTGTTTTGTAGTCATTTACGGTTTCAGCGGTTTTGTACGGTCATATTCGTTGTCAGCTACCCATAAAGCTAGAAATACTGAGGTTTAGCCCCTGGATTACAACATTTTTATGTTGCGTCTGTGTAATATATGTTCAAAAAAAAATTAAAGCACCTGAAAAATTTCACTTTGAGACAAAATTAAAAAAAAAAATAAATAAATTTTAATAAAAATTATGAAGGATATATCTTAAACGTACGATGCAGTTCGATTCCCCATACCCGAAATAGGGTGATATCGTCTTCTCTGGCCACGTCTTTGAAGGTTTTTGACAAAAAAAAAAACTTTTACCATGTAATAATTTAAGCTTCATAAATTTTGCCTACAGGGTTATTCGAATGCCATTAACTGAATGAATACTTGTATATGTTTGCAATTCTACGCTATTTGGCTAAGTACTCACATTCCAACAGCGATAATAACGTACAAACTTAAAGCCAATTTACATGAACAAATTCAATTGCAATTGTAGTTACTTAATTCAAGGGGCCAATTAAATAGGCTTAAACTATTGGTAATTCCCGAATTCACACCGCGCCTCGCAAACCCCTCCTCCACATTGCGAAAATTGCCCGCACCACAATGCATTCACTCAAATGAACGCTTTTAACATTCTATTTACATACACACTACATGCACTTACACCCACCCACCTGACTGTCGATACACCCACCCGACGAGCAGTCCAGCTTAGATGCATATACATATATGTATTACATATCGATATGTGTGTATATACATATGTACAATATATGTTACATAGTACATTCGTGTTTGACCATTTATGGGCGAAAAACCTTTACCAATGTACTGCAATGCACATAGTACTTAAGCAACGTAACTTAATGCCTGCTACAAATTGCAATTAATTGAAAACCGAGCGATGCACCAGCAAGCAATTCAATGCGTTGTATGCATGCATGAGCCTAAGTGCTCTTGCCTTCGTTGCTAATGAATTTTCGTGCTTAGATACTCACGTGTGCTTGTTTGTGCAAACACTTTGTATGCCTCAAATTGCAATCAATTGTGAAAGGTAGTATGTAAGGTGAAGGCGAATCGGCGGTGAGACTTAGGCGACACTCAAGAATGCCACAAAGAATTCGACGATTATGCAAAGTGGCGATTAAGCAACAAGCAATGGCTTTTCGTAAAAGGTATTTGAAGAATGCTTGTGAATTAAGTACCGTTAGTTGGTGTCAATTCACTTGTCAAAGACATTGCGCGAATTCCGCAAAGCATTAGAATGTTGCACGCAGTGCTAAGCGCAAGTATGACGTAGTACGAGTATGTATGTATTTAAAAAACAAAAAACAAAATGGGGTGAAGAAAGCTCAAGTGCGGACTAACTTACCAGTGCACTAAGGTCAAAATGTCTGTTTTTCTGGTCAAAACTAATTACGGCTAGATAAGTAGATGATTTAAAACACATGAGCTTTTTATTAATCTGCATTTAATTTCCCACACTTTTGGAAGAGAAAAAATGTTAACCCTCGCGGATCGAAAGTTCTAAATTGGCCACTTTTTAATTTTATTTTTTTAATATGTTTGAATGCAGTTATTTTAACATTCGCATGAAAGCAGAACCGTTTAAATAGTGCAATTTTTGAAAAATGTTGCCAAACTATATATTTCTTGATACCTGAGAAATGTGAACTTCTTTCTTAATTTGTCCACTGAAAAGTTAAAAGCAGCAACCTTTGCAACAACTAGTAATTGAATCACTACAAACAGTATCACGATAACCTAGGAATATTGCCGTTTTCTCAGAAATCTTTTACACACTCAGAAAAAAGCATTTCCTTAAAACAATAAAATAGTATCCTTATTTTAGAGTTACTGTTTTTTCCTTAATATTACGAAAAATTAACTCGATTAGAGAAGTTTTTATTTTTATTTTATTCAGGTTCATGCTATAAATAGGGCGTCATTAATTTGAGGAAGTAAATTTACTCAGGGCCAAATTCACAGTACATAGTTAACTCCGAATCGGCAGTCAACTACAGATTTTCACTACAAAAAGTAAGTAATAATTTCCTCAATATAAGTAATAATTTCCTTAAATAATTTTGAATTTTGTCAGTGCTGTTAAGACAAAGTTAATTGCTTTCTCGGAAAATGTCGGCGGTGGCGTCGCTTGAAGACTATTGCTTCTAGTTCTGAGATCGCAGGTTCGAGTCCGGTTGGAGGTGGTTAGATTAAGATAAGTCAATTATTTCAATTTAAATATAAATTACAAATTGTAAAATTTATTTCATAGATGGAAAAACCTAAATACTGAAATACCATAAAAAATAAATAAAATATTAAAAAAAAAAAAATCCTGCTCTGGGACTCAAATCTCTCGACAAGCATTCTAGAGCTTTGCTCTGTCGACCATTGCCACTGTCCGAGCGCCCCGAGCAAGATTACACACTTATTCCTTTCACAGGGGGTGAAAAGGCAAGTAAATTTTTCCTAAAAACTAAGGAATTGTGTTTTCCTTAAACTAAGCCAAATCGTTTACTTATATTAAGGCAGCCATGTCATTGGAGCCATTTTAAGGTAATATTTCCTTAGAATAATATACTTTTTTCCTAGCATCTAGAAATTTTTATTCTGAGTGTATGGACTCAAATAGAAAATCTTCTTCTCTTCTTACATTTAAGGACCACCCTAATATACATACATTTCAGTGTTCCTTCAATTTCAAATTTTTTCTGCAAACAAAATAAAGGCAACCACGAAATTTACAAGAAATAATATTGAAGAGATTTAATTTTTTTAATCGCAAAATTTCTGCAATATTTTTACTTTGACCAGCCATAACTCAGCGAGTTTATTAATTTATTTGAATAAGTCTCACTAATACATATGTAAAAATTTATCAGATTTCGAGTAAAATTTTGTACGAATTTTTGCGGTTAAAAGAATATATGTATTCTTTTTTCAAACTCTGGCAGCGATCCCCAAAAATTTTGTTTAAAAATTTCAAATTAAATTATACACAGTTTGAAGGCAATGTATTTGTAAGGCGTACTCCGAATCACAAGAAATCTCATCAATATTTTTTTTATAAGCCACTTTTCAACACTTGCAGTAGAAAGGCTAACAAACCATTTAAATGCACTCCCAATACAAAAACAGTTTGTTTAATCAATAGCGTAATTACGACGCATATAAATTTACCAATATCGATAAGTAGTTACTTACCATGTGTGGGACTATGAAAAGGCATACGTTGCGGCGCCCATGGCCAACCTGGAGGACACAGTGCTGCATAACGACCAGCTAAAGCGCCCCATTGTGATATGAAACCCAATCTGCAATTAAAAGAAAGCACCAAATGGAGATGATTAGTGGGAGGTAAGATAGAAAAAGGGTAATTTTTATTTTTATAATTGATTAATGAATGAAAAGTATTGCGAATGAATGAAAATGGAGTAAATAAGAAGTGGTAAGTATGTACTAATGTATGTATGTACGTATTTATAACAAAAGCCGAGCCATTCATACATGATTAAATTACGGCGGGTCAATTTAACAGTTTTTAATTAACACCGTTATGTTTAAACTGTATTAGTTCCTTTAAATCAAAAAAGTTTGCGCAAATATTTAATGGTCCTCCTACTTCGCTTATAGCGATACATAATTTTATTGGCTTGATTTCAACCTTCAAGAATTTTTGCACACCCATACATCTGCATTTATATGTGCATACATACATTCATATGTAACTATGTTTATAAATGTGTATAAGTAACTTAAGAGCCGTTAATGAGGACATCGCTTACTGAGAATTATTTATAAACATATACATACATACGTATATACATATACATGCCTTTTCGTATAAGTTCTAACGAACTTTTCTTTTACACTCTTTACCGTTGGCTTACACTTATGTACATACATACATATGTAAGTACATTGGGGTGGGCCAAAAAAGTCAAGTCGGATTTTTAATACTCTCACCCTCTAGGATTGTTCTATATCGAAAAAATCATCATCAATCTTATAATTTTGAAATCAAAAAATACTTAGAGGAGTCGCTCAAAGCGCTCAAATTTTTCCATGTTTTTTATATGGGGAAAAAACCTTTACCGCCAAAAGCCTCAGTTAATACAATGGAGGAACCAATAAAAAATCGCTAGTACTAAAAAATGATTGAATAAAAAATTGGGTAATGTTATTGGAAGTCTCCTGAAGAGAACCAGAGTTTTCCGATCGAAAAACATTGATTTTTATGAATTCTATACCATTTCTACGAAAAGAGTTTTTTCCCCATATAAAATACAAGGAATTCTGTAAACTCATTGAGCGACCTCTAAATAATTTTTGATTTCAAAATTATAAAATTGCGGTATATTATTTCGATATAGAACAACATTTTACATGCATTTTTAAAGCACCCTAATGTACATACATACATATGTGTACAAACATACATTTGTTCCATGCTTGAATGACTAGCAGAAAACAAAATCTGTGCCGTCTTAAAATAGTAATATGAAAACAAGGGATCGCTGCCAAGGCTTCTTTCGTCAACAACAAATTCATCCCTTGCACAAGTGCTTTTACACACTTAAAAGCTCCTCCCCAGAGTGGCGCGTACACACACACATACATACATACATACATACACAACATACGTAAACACAACGGATGCCTCAAACTTGCTACTTTTATGAACAAGCATACATATGTACACACATACACACGTAAACATCCTTATTGCCCACGACGACGCTTCCTCACTGCCACACGTTCATCTTGAACAGCTTCTTCGCATTATGGCGCTTTTTCCGCTCGCCCGCGCCAAAAAGCATCTTAATAAACACATTTTATTTATTTATATCATGTGCTAAATCAAACTTTCAACTTGAATCATTCAACACACAACCACACACACACACACACACACGCACACCCACACACAAAAGAACAACACACAGTTGAGTAGCTGAAGATGCTTAGGGCAGCAGCCATCCAAGTAAAGCAGTGTGGGGGCGGGGGGCTACAATTGAGGGTTGCACTGTTTTTGTGCAGCAACGAAGGGTAATTTGTGGGTCGTGTTTGGGTAGAAAGAGGGGGTGGCAAATTAGGGGAAGGGTGAGATTGGTTGGTTTTTGATTTCTAATGACTGAGGCACTTAAGTGATTTTGTTAAAGCGAGCAAATTTCGTGCTAGCGCGGGTGGGCGAGGATGATGGTGATGACTGGCTTGTCGAAAGTTATACGAGTGCAGCATAAATCTGCTCAGAGTAGGGTCGGTTAGCTCTGGCAGCGAGGTTAGTCGGTTTTTTATGACAGCTTATAAGTAGAATATTGATTGAGATATTTATCTAATTTGCTTTGATTTGGTTTTACCCAGGAGCGTGTGGATGTGCGGCACATTAGGATGTCCCAGCGAAAAGAAAACAAAATGCTGTTGACCCGAGCGAGTTAGAAAAACTATTGAGGGATTCACAACGGTGTCGTAAGCGTCCTCTTGTTGCATGTTGTGAACTTTAAAAGCTTAAACAAATATTTAGGGGATTTGAAATTACAGCCAACTATTTTTTAACACTGCGAAGATTCATAATATGACTTGAATAGTACTTTGCGTAGTATATTTTTTAGGGGTTTAAAGTTTACGACATACAACAATACAATAGTTACGACAACTGTAAACGCAACTGTTGTAAACGCAAGGTTATACATACAACTGTCAGAACTTCCGGACTTACTTGCGTCAAAAGTGGAGAGTTGTCCTACGTTCCTTGATTCCGTCGACGCAAGAGTTGTCAATCTGATACTCCCTATGCAAACATACACATTCTACTCATAAATAAAAAATTCAAACTTTGGACGAAAATTTTTGGAATTTTTGTAAATGTTGTATATATCTGAGTCCTTGGTCTTTATGGGTTGGGTTAAAGCGCACACAATATTCTTAAGTAAAAAAATACCAAACAAAATTTTTACTTGAAAAACATTGTGAATATAAAATGTCACCAAGCAGTTTTTTTGAGTTACTGTATTTGTCTATAATAACTCCAGTTGATTTTTTTTATAATGATGAAATTTCTTTATTACCTTTAGTTAAATCACTTTCACTTTTGGATGAAGGAAACCGAGAACACCATATAATTAGTTATATAAAAAGTTCCTTATTAAAAAATTTCCATTTTTATTTAAATAGCTAGAAAAAATAGAACCAATCTAAGTTTTTATTAAAAAAAAAAGCTAAAAATTTTATTGGTAGATATTTTCTAGGTTTGATAGATTTTTTTCAAGTGGATGGTAAATGACTATAAGTGACTATCGGGTAAAGGCAAAGGCATCGTATTTTCAGGGATAGTCGTCGGACGTTCTAGCTTTAATTAAAGCCTAAGTGGAAAAAAAACCAATTTTTTGACACTTTTACCACGTATTTCTCCAAATCTGTAGCTCATTACGGATTCGTAATCAGCACAAGAAAGTTTGTCAAAATCAGTTTTAACATTTAATTGATGGCCTTTAAGAACTGTATTAAAATTGATTTTCAATAAAGAATTTTTTTTAAAAAGTTTACCCGAAAATCTATGAAGACTTTTTATATAACCCAATTTATTAAAAGTTACGGCGCGTGAAATTTAAAACTTCACTGACTTATTAACCTGCCCTCGTATTTAACACGGTCCTTAACATTACATATGTATATACTAATATATAGTTTAAAGTACATTAATGCCACGTCATTGTTAACTCATTTTGTTGCAAGTAAAGGGTTGCTTTTACTTTTTCAATGTTACTATGCAAGCTCCGTATTTGTACTTTTCTATATTCATTTATAGTATACAAAAGTATTTCATATATATATTTACATACATACATACATATCTACATAAGTATCTAAATGAAGAAAAGTTAAACGTTTGAAAATCTCCACACTGCAAAAGGGGAATTAAGAGCAAAGCATTTGCCCACTCAGAATAAAAGTTTCACTTTTCTTCATCTATTCATATTCTTTGTTCATTTTCTCCGTCGGTATACGTACATATATACACAGAAAAAAAGCACCTAATAAAAAGGAACAAAACTAATAAGATATTCTACGGTTTTTTATTGAGAAGATATTCATCATGCAAATTTGTATAATAAAACCAAAAATAAATCGTTTGGTTTTTATAAGGTTGTCTAATTAAAACCTAAAAATTGGCATAAAAAAGTTAACGCCGACCTGTTCTCGACCTCGGGACCTACACACGAAATCAAGAAGAAATCTCTATGAAATTTTCTTCGCTTTTTCGTCTGTTTTACCCTTTAGCCCAGAAATTTTTCATAAAGACACTCTTCTTGTTTATATGTGTCATATTTTTCGCTGTGTGCATATCTTATCGATCTATCCCCACAACTTTACAACCTGTCGGCTTTGCACTTATTGTTACCAATATTTTAATGCGAAAATATATTTTTAATACTGCCTTTTTTTAAGCTTCTGTTTCTTAAGAATTGTCACTCAATCAAATCAATCCAATTAAGGTTGTCGCTTATTCGTTGAAATTTCCGTCCAACTCAGCAGGTTGCAAAGGTTTAAAATTTCCCTGCAAGCATTATTATTGCCTTTCTTATTTTTTGTTGTTGTTGTTGTTGTTTTATAAGCCACTTTTAATGCGATAAGCTAGTACTTTTGACTTTTCGTATTTTTATTGATATGCCAGTGTTAAACGCTTGACATTTGATAAGCGAATTCCCACAGATATAAATGCATATATGTAGATATGCATACATATATGTAGATATATATTTGCTTGCACCCCAAAAGAGCAAGCGATTTTTACACTTATGACTCAATAAATTGGCAGCACCTTAAGAGAAACATTTTCACACAACCCCTTCATATGACCAAAGTTGCTTGCTACTTTGCTACTTAAAGGTAGTATTAAGCAGCAAGAATGCGGTTTTCCCACAACCCCTTCAAAATTCATTTACGTAAAAGTAGTGTAAATGTTTTTAATTATTTGCATACTTCGTTGCTACGACACCAGCCAACTCTACTCCATTCCGGCTGGCTTTTTGTAATCTACTCTTGCACTTTATTTTATGGCATTTCGCACGTTTCTCAGTTGCCTCCCATTCACCCGCTTTGCATGTAATTTTAATACTCGATTAAAGCCAACAAAAGTCAACGCTAAAACGTTTTAAATTGCAAGCAGCCAACGCAGTTTGCGCCCTTATTGCTTAGCCGCCCTTTCTTTATGCAAACAGTCTGTTAACCTCTTTGACCACTCGTCGCTAGTGACCCGTACAGTCTGTCTCCTGCGACTGTGATTTTTTGTGTGCTTCTCCTGCAAATACCC